TCAGATAAATTAGTAACAATGCTTTTAAAAAGATGTGGTCATCCGAGTTAAACATGAGTGAAGAAGTCTAATTGGCTGACAGTGTCTATTTTTCAATAATTGCAGGGCTGAAAGTAGTGGTATATCTTCACCACTAGACATGCTTTGTGAACAGCTGGTATCAATGACAAAGACTGAGATCTATTCAGGTTTTTCTGAAAAACAATGTCATCCAGTACATTCAGATTAAAAGAAACAAAACTCAAATAAAATGCAAATTTTATTTACATTAAAACAGTGTTTATTTACAAACACACAAAGAAACAGTAAAGATAAGAAAAAAAAAAAAAGAATGATCATGTAGTTTAAGGCATAAAACTGTATTATATACATAGTGTTGGCTGGATTTATCCTGGTCTGCTCAGTTTGTCTCACTCGTTCTCCTTGTTAAGTGACAGAATCAGAGCTCTCCTGTCCATCTGGCTGAATCTCTGTTTTTCTGGGGTGGACACTTTCAACTTCATCTGAAGAAAGACATGAAGATCCATTTAGAGTTTGAAGGTGTAACAGATGAAAATGACTGCATAACACTCTATAGTTAAATAAGCACTGAGATTCAGATATAACCAGTGACTAATAACTGTGTGATTACCTGGGAGTTGCGGTCTCTGGGTGAATTTGCCTCCCTCAGGATCTGCAGAGGCGATCTGCCCTCACCAATCAGAACTTTTTCTGTAACATTAAACAAGTAAATAACCTAGTTTATAACCACTGAGAAAAGTGCATACTTGGAAAAAATAAAAGATGAAAAAAAATAACTTGGATACACTTCAGATTGATCATTTTGTTAGTCTTCGATCCATTACTTTTAACGTAAGAGCAGGTGCAGACATTTATAAACTCTGAAATCAACAAGTTTTGGCATCATCTGCCACCACTTATTTTAGCTGTACAAAAATGTTGATGCTGTGTGGTGAATGGACACACACTCACCTCTCGGTCTCTGTTTGGCACGCACAACCATGTTGTTATTTTCATTTGTGGCTGTGTTTTTGGTGGAGAGTGGTGAGGACATGGATGTTTTTCCACACGCCTGTACCCTCCTCGCTCTGACTCCAGTGGTCCCGAAGCCCACACCCAACCACTGGGGTTTAAAAATGGCCTGACTTGGGCTACGGGTGTCAAACTTCAGACAACGGATGCCGGACTGGACCGTTTCAACCTGGGTGTCAGTCACTGGGCTGGATTTGCTGGGGGCAACAGCAGGTTGAGGTGTGGGAGGTTTGCTCTCCTCTGGCTGCTCATGGCTCGACTCTGGAAGAGCAGCATCCAGCTGATGGAGGAAGGACACACATCAGTCAGTCCCACACAGCATTCAACAGGATGGAATTTTTCTGCTTGCCAAATCAGGCCAACAGTTCAGATTCCTAACTGTACTGAAATTTTCACTGGTCCCAAAACAAACAAAAACATCCATTTAACTATCAATTTAAAATGCATCGTTTTTTTTTTTTAAACATTCTTTTTTTTTTTTAAATGAAATTATAAATTTTTCACAAATACAAACTAAGATGTCATCAAATTATTATTTTTAAATAAATTTAATAACTTTGAAATGAATATAATTATTCAGTGTATTTAAAAAAACTAAACCAAATAAATTATATGCATATCAAAGGCATAAAAATGTAAAATGTTAAAAATGTTTTTCACAAATATAAAATTACTGCAATTAAATGATTTTCAGTCATTTTTGATTTTAAAGTAGTCTCTAATGCTCACCAAGCCTGCATTTATTTGAACACACACACACACACACACACACACACACACACACATATATATACATATACATACATACATACATACATACATATATATCTAGACTAAAATAACGGTTCTCTATTTAAAATATTTTAAAGCTGAATTTTTAGCAGCCATTACTCCAGTCTTCAGTGTGACATGATCCTTCAGAAATCATTCTAATATTCTGATTTGCTGCCCAAGAAACATTTCATATTATTAATGTATTAATAATGTATTATCAATCTATAAATATTCCACTTTTTTCAGGATTCTTTAATAAATAAGTTCAAAAGAACATCATTTATTTGCTATAGAAATATTTTGAAACAAATGTCTCTGCTTTCACTTGCGATCAATTTAATGTATCCTTTCTGAATATATAAATGTCTTTAAAAAAAATAAAAATAATAATAAAAAAATAAAAATAAATTGTACTGCCCCCAAACTTTTTAACGGTAGTGTACTATGAATATATACAGATAAATGATGAACTATTCCTTTAAAAATGTAGATAGAAACCCAAAAAGACAGTCTTTCAATAAACCCAAAAACAAACCTGTTCTTCCGATGTCTGGGACGGGTCCTCAACTGCCTCCGAGGTCACGACAGCTTCAACAACAGGAGTGGAAGTTTCAGACTCTGTGGATTGTGGTGGGGCTGAGAAGAGTGCGCAGGAGTGATCTTCATTCGCTTGGCTCTCAGCAGGAGGAGGAGTCAGAGGATGTTCCTCCAGAGAAGAGTAAACGCCTTCACGACAAGCAAGAAGACTCAAACTGAGCTCTTTTCTTAATGATGAAGCACCAAGCAGCAGAGCATCCTCCGCCTCTTCCAGCGAGGTCTCAGCATCCACCTCCACCTGCGTGCGTCCAATCAACACAAATGGGCTGCTGCACATGGAGCCGTAGGCCTCTGAAGGAGAGCACAGCACAGGGGTGGACACAGCATCCGTGTGTCCGATGAGGGTGGATGAGTTCTGGGATTTTACCAGAGGAAGCAGAGGATTTCTGGGACCTGCGTCATTTTGCTGATTCCCATTGGGCAGGCGGTGGTGTTTGGTAAAGGAGACCAGAGGAAGGGGAGAAACAGAGTCGCCAGACTTGACGTCATTGAGAAAGAAGGTGCTCAGCCGCCGAGCAAGAGACGTGACACTCACTGTAAAGGAGACAAAGGAGTTGGGAGCTTGAAGAGTCACGACTGAAAATGGTTCATCCATGCATGCGTTTCATTTCATTCATCATCTAGAAAAAAAAAAACTTTTTTTACCTTATAATTTTTAAATCAATAAATCCACCCCTTTCTTACAATCAACTGCAAACTCGCATTCTGATCTGCCTCCATCCAATCAACAACCACTGAACAGAACCAAGTCCCATCCTACATTTTTCTCTTTTTTTGATGAAACGCTCAAAATCAGTTTGTAATGATGTACAGAGCACTCATCGACACTACGTGGTGTTTGTTTTGTTTCAGTTTTTAAAGAATTCAATGGCTCATAGTCCTGTAATATAGCACCAAGCAGACGCATGGGATTCCGGTACTTAAAGAAGAGAAATAAATATATCTATATATAAATATAAATACCTTTGCACAGAGCCATTTTTTTTAGAAGAGTTTACCAAATAAACTCTCGAGTATAAAAACGGTATCATATACCAGTTAATATCAATTCAAAAAGGCCAGCATGTCTTGTTTAAATTTCCAGTGATTGTATGTATATATATATATATATATATATATATATATATAAAAACACTTTGACAACCAAGGCCATTAAAAAAAGTGCACTGCTGCACTCTATACAGAAAGGATTGAGCATATGAATATTAATTAGCTTTCAGCTTGAGCTCTTTTCAACATGTTTAAATATTCTGATTTAAGAATGCGTATCACAGTCCACATGTAATACTCCAAATAATGGAGTAAACTTCACTTACCCTTTAATGGTGTTCGAGTAACGCCAGGTGTGGGTGAGCGGGGGTCAACAAATGCAGGCCCTACTGACTCCACCACAGGAAGAGGAGAGTAAGCCACGCCCACCTACAGGAAAATACAATCAATTAAACTCTTATTCTGCCAATTGCTCACTCACTGTTCATATGGGATCTGAAAATTAGCATAATTCTTCCCAGAGTCCGGCTTCACGACACACGACGTAATCAAACTTTAATTAGAGAAACTCAAACAGAAGTGTTGTCACACCGTATGTTTGTACCTGTATAGGTGTGCGGTCGATAACACAGGACGGTGAACGCGGGTCTGCGAGTCTCGATACACGCGATGCTTTCGGCCGCTGGCTCAGGTCTATCTTTGGGGTTGATGCCACAGACATCTTGCTTTCACTGGCACCCATTTTACACTGTTTGCTGCACGGTTTATGAAAACAAATGCATGGTAGGCAGAGAAAAAGTAACGTTAGTTAAAACCCTAATACTCTGAACTCATGCTGGCTTTCCAGAACACTGCTAAATTGTACGCACGTAAAACACTTAATTCCATTTAATAAATAAGTAGCAGTTCTTGCCATGCTGCGTTTTAGCAGCATGACAAAGTCATTGTCCAAAACACAAACTCACCTTAAAGTTCAATGTGTTCCACGTGCAGTCCGCTATATGTTCTTTTTATCTTCCACGCTGTATCAGATCAACTTTGTCACGTTTTATATGTCTATGTACGAACAAAAGCAGATTTCAACAAAGAAATGTTTCAGTCGCCTTCCAATCTAAACTCCGTGTGACTCCAGCGAGAGCATTTAAATTGGTCGCTCTGTGTTTGCGGCGATTTTTAAACAGGCCAATGGGTGAACGCGCGAGTTGCTGCCTCGACGCCTCTGATTGGCTGAGACTGTGAATACATTATTATTGGGCGTGTATCAGCGATTTGAAATACAGCAAGCAAGCAGCCGGGAGTTGACTGTTTGACGTCTTCTTTAATATTTTGAGTTCAACAGTCAAAACGCACTGCAAACAATCGGACTTCTGTTTTTTCAAAAATATGTTTTAGTGAAGGAATTAATATTCGCCACTTATAGAAAAGCATGTTGAAAGTATATTTTAGTTTTACTATTTTGGTTATTGTTAATAGCAAGCTGAATAAATTAAAAAGGTATGTCATCTTTTTTTTATAATTTTTATACTTATATTTAGAAATATGAAAATTATTTTTCCTTAGTTAATTTTATTTAAAAAAAAAAAACATTTTAAACAAATTTCAAATATTTTTTTAATTAGTTATCAAGCACTTTTTGTCAAAGCTTTATTGCTTGAATTACATAGATCATAATAGCTATTTGAATTGGCTATATGCAAAACACTAATCATTATGATTCAATACACAATATGGCATGTAGAATTTACAATTAAGCAAATTAATTTACAGCAAAAGCAAATATCCAATAAGAAATAGTGCTTACAGACATGTCTTTCAGTATACAGCCCTTCTGTCACTCATGAATGAAGTTGCCAATATAACTTTAAGGCTTGCAAATCACTTCTGTTACTCTGTACAGGATCCAAAGTGATGTAGAACACAATTATATCTCCACATACCTCGTCTCTGTGTCAAACAGAGGCAAGTATTTTGAGCTCACAGTGCAGGGGCCTTACTTTCCCCATTTGAGAAATATGAGAGCAATTTTGATAAGGACCATGGAAAGAACCGTAATCTTCAAGATTAACAAAATGGAAAAATTATAACAGAATCTCTGTAAGCATAAACTTGTGACAAAAACCGTAGCAAGTTTGTACCATGGACCTTTTAACATCTTTTTCTCAAGTACAGTCATCAGTTCATCCGTCTGTCCATTAACGTCGTTTTGTTCTCTCTTTTTATTTTCCTCACATTGTAGCACCTCTAAAAGTCATGCCTCTGTTGAAATGTACACCTCCACTCGTGTTGTTTTCTCTCCAAAACTGGCTTCTCCACACTCGCATTCTATCTTCCTGCGCTCCTTCATCTCCTCCATCCTTCATTCTGTCTCTCCTTCTCTCTGGCAGAAGTGTGCAAGCAGAGTGTCCAGATCTCGCCGGTCGGCTGCTGAATAAAGCGAGCTTTCTCCCATCATGCTCAGTGCCATGCGTAATGTGGACCAGATGTTGTCTGACATCACAGTCACTGCTGCACCTGGCCCTCGACTCGCACCTCCCTCTCCATCACCTGCGGCCTGTCGCTGCAGAGAAAGGGCCTCTAGGAAGTGCTCTACTGCCTCCCTGATTGAGATATAAAGAGATGCCATTCATTGTGGTGTTTTAGATCTTTCTGGTGAAACCTTCTCTTACTAACCTGTGTGCACCCAGGTTGACACAGCTGATGCCAAGGTTATATCGGCTACGTACAAATCCAGGCTGTAACTCCAGTGCGCGCCTGTAAGCAGCGACCGCCTCCTCTGAGCGGTTCCCGTTAGCAAGAGTCGCTCCCAACTTGTTCCACAGCAGATAATCCTTCACATAGTGTTGAGAGAAAGAAGAATGTGAACTAAAACACTGATGAACAATCTGTATAAATGAGCAGAATATAGCAAGCAATGTGTAGACTCCAACCTGTGGCGTCACAGACAGGGCGGCAGTGAAACAGTCCACAGCCTTGTCATACTCTCCACTCAGGTTGAAGAGAACGCCCAGACCACACTGCAGCTCAGGGTCCACCCATGTGGGCTCAGCGGCCGCTGCACTCAAAAACAACGTCTGCACTTCATTAAACAGTGCCCTAGGAGGAAGAACAAGTGAAAGAATGGATTAGCCTCTAACTTAAAGGGTTAGTTCACCCAAAAATGAAAATTCTGTCATTAATTACTCACCCTCATGTCGTTTCAAACCCATAAGACCTTCGTTCATCAACAGAAATTAAGATATTTTTGATGGAATCTGAGAGCTGTCTGACCCTGCATAGACAGCAATGCAACTGAAATGTTCCCAAGTCCAGAAACGTAGCAAGGAGATCTGTAAAATAATCCATGTGACATCAGGGGTTCATCCGCAATTATACGAAGCTACGAGAATACTTTTTGTGCGCAAAAGAAAAAAAAAAACGACTTTATTCAACAATTCATCTCCTCTGCATCACCCTGTAGTGCCATTTTGGAGAATATCCACTGGACTAAACAACGTATGCTGTTCTGTGTCAGCTACGTTTCTGGACTTGGAAACATTTCAGTTGCATTGCTGTCTATGCAGGGTCATACAGCTATCAGATTCCATCAAAAATAATTTGTGTTGTGAAGATGAACGAAGGTCTTATGGGTTTGAAACGACATGAGGGTGAGTAATTAATGACAGAATTTTCATTTTTGGGTTAGACCTAAACCTTTAAAAGTAGTCGTCCACCCAAAAAAAAATTAAATACTCGCATCACTGACTCACCCTCAAGTCGTTTCAAACCCTTCTGACACACAAAACTATCATATAGCTTCAAAAGACTTGGAATACAATCATATTGACAATTTTATGACACTTTTTTGTCATTAAGGAGCTTGAGAGATCACTTCCTCATTCACTTTAATTTACTTGAAGCAAAACAGCAAGTATTGTTCAAAAATACTAATTTTGTGCTCTACAGAAAAAAGCCATGTGGGTCTGGAACGAAATGGTGAGTAGATTTTATTTTGGAAAATAATCTTTAATAAAACAAAAGACAATTCATAATCATCCCTGAGTCATACAAAAACTATTTTAATGTCTGCACTGTCAACTGATTAAAACAGAGCATATGCTGCAAGCTACCCACAATGCTGTCTGCAGATTGAACTCCACACCTTTGTTTGTGTAAGACTCTGTATTTTTAGAGCACTGCCTGCTTATGATTGGTGACAAATGTAAATCTGTTGCTAGGTTACAATGCCCCGTCCACTCACTTATGCATGTCTCACATTAATGTAAAAAGGCATTGAAAACAGGCTGCTTCCACGTCTGATCAGTTCACAGTACTGCACAATCATGAAAAAGGTTTAACAGACTTCTGGGTTCAATACAAGTCTTGGGTAAAATAATTCTGACTCATCACTCCGTGTTTCAGTAACACTTACACTGTGTCCTAACTATTTGTCAACCCACACTAAACGCAAAAATGTTGCCTTCTATTTTCAAGATGCTCGTCCATACTGCATTTTTTAAGATTCTTCCTAAATGTTTAATATAATATCCAATATTTGTCAACTTCCACATGAATCCTTTCAGGAATAAACAAAAATGTAATCCTGTGATGGTAAATCTTAATTTTCAGCAGCCATTACTGCAGTGTCCAGTGTCACATGATCTTTCAGAAATCATTCTAATATGCTGTTTTGCTGCTCAAGAAATATTTCTCGTGCTGCTTAATATTTTAGTGAAAATTGTGACACATTTTTTAGGATTCTTTGATGAATGGAAAGTTCAAAAGAACAGCATTTATCTTTTGATCAAGTTATCAATATTTTTGATCAATCACTTTCAAGCAATTTAATGTGTCCTTGCTAAATAAAAGTGTAAATTTCTTTTAAAAATTTGTATTGACCCCAAACTTGTGTACAGGAAGAGCCATATTTCAGTCAATGAGATTTCAGTGTGGTGTACCCGGTGCAATCAACAAAATGTAGTGTCACTCATCATGTATAGAATATTTCTTTACAGCATTCAAGAATCCGCTTACTCTGGAAGGAGGGATCCAAATCTCTCCCTCTCTTTCTCCCTCTCCCTCACACCCTCCCGCTCCTTCTCTCGTTCATGCTGCTCGAGGATATGCCGGTATTTAGGGTTGTGCCTCAACCAATCACGAAGCGTCTCACAGGCCTGTCTGTGCAGTGACTCATTGGTGAAGCTCACAGCTAGAGCCATGAGAGCAGTCAGATTGTCCTTTTGCAGCTCAATACATCTGAAAACAACAATTGAGACATTAATTTAAAAAGGTGGGAGCAGTATTTTAATAAATCAGATTTGTCTCAGAGAACTTAAAGGGGTCATATGATGCGATTTAAATGTTTCCTTTCTCTTTGGAGTGTTACAAGCTCTTGGTGCATAAAGAAGATCTGTAAAGTTGCAAAGACTAAAGTCTCAAATCCAAAGAGATATTCTTTATAAAAGTTAAGAGTCAACCATGCCTACCTAAAACGGCTCGTTCGAACACGCCCCCACATGTCTACATCACGATGTGGGAAGATTTGCATAACGCCGCCCAAATGTTCACGCAAAGAAACACATGTGGTTGCCGCAAGCCCGCCGGACGCTCCTTCGTCGAATCCGCCGGCCGCGCTGTTCTCAAGCCCACCGGTCGCCGCTCACTCTAGCCCACCCGTGACGCTGTGTTTCATTGGGAAAGCGAAACTACTTTGTTTGGCCTTCCATTTCCAGCGATATCGCTGACTTGATTGCAAATGATTGCAAAGATACTATTTAAACTGAACTGAGCTGGATGTTGACATCACTGAATTCAATGATGAACTGTCTTTAACTGAAAAATTAGTGTTTACTATTGTCATTTTGCATTATTGACACACTGTTTTCCTAATTAATGCTGTTCAGTTGCTTTGACACAATCTGTATTGTTAAAAGCGCTATATAAATAAAGGTAAAAAATAAATAAATAAATAAATAAATACCAAATAATGTTCTTTTTAGCAACATCATATGACCCCTTTTATAACTGCTGTGCACAGTAAGACTGCGGTTATACTTCTCACCTGCGGAGGGCGCTGATAGCAGCAAACTCTTGCTCGTTCTCTGCCTGGCAGGTGCCCAGATATTGCCATGCCTGCAGTATCATCACACGCAGTCAGTGTTTCACAAAGACAAACAAGAAAGCAGAACACAGTTAGAATCCCTTGAGACAAAATGTATCATCAGTTTTTGGATGTGGGGATTATATGTATGAGGGTCTGACCAGCTGGTTGTCTGGCTTTCTCTGAACTGCGCTCTCAAAGAGACGTACGGCTCCAGGAATGTCCCCCGCCTCCATCCTCTTCACGCCCTCAGCAAACGGATCATCGTGGGACAGGTAGGGGTTGTCTTCTTCAAACTGATACCCCTAGGAGAAAAGTAAACTCATATTCACAATAAATTTAACGTTATATATAACATTAAAGTAACTAGTCACAAATTATTTTTCCTCAGGTTTTTGTTTCGTTTAGTTTTTTTTGCTATTTTTTGAAAAAAATTATTTATCTGTGAATGAATTATACTACCATTCAAAAGTTTAGTTAACTTAGTAAAAAATAGTTTTTCTTTGAAAAAAAAAAATATTCAGCAAGGATGCATTAAATTGTTCAAAAGTGACAGTGAAGGCATTTATAATGTAACAAAATATTAACATTTCAAATAAATTATGAAAGAATCTTGAAAAAAAAAAAAATGGTTTCCATAAAATATTAAGCAGCATGGTGCTCTGTTTTTTGAGCACCAAATCAGCAGAATAGAAACATTAATGAAGGATCATGTGACACTAAGGACTGGAGTGATGGCTGGTGGAAATTCAGATTTGACATTACAGGAAAATCACATTTTAAAATATAATAAAAAACAATAAATATTGTTATTATTTAACAATAATTACTGTTTTCACTGTATTTTTGATAAATGCAGCCCTGGTAAGCATGAGCTTCTTTCAAAACTTCTTTCAAAAACATAAAAAAATCTTATCATCCCAAACCATTTGAACAGTAGTGTTTCTGGAATCTGAACAATTTAAAAAAATCATTAAAAAAAAAAAAAAAAAAAAAAAAGTTTTTTTGTGCAGAAAATGTAAACTTGAAATGAAAGTATGAAAAGAGTGGATGTATAGCATGCAACTTTTAAGATGCTGTTCTTCTGACTATTGGCCACAGGTAACAGCATGATTTGTGAGGGTGACATTGCTTTTAAACAACAGTTCAATAAATTATTAGTTCATATCAAGTAACTTACATTTTAGACACAATATTGCCAGTTTTTCTGCCTATTTTTGCTCTGCCAATGACAATAGTTTCTAATGAAGCCAAAGACTGGAACCAACTGTTGTATAAACTGTAATAAAGTACAGCCTACAGCCTAGGAAAGGACTCAAAAGTTTTAATTAGGTGGAAGTATCCATGCTGTGAATGGACACAGATGTACATTAACCAGATACCTTGTCGTAAGAGCTGCTGAGCATCTGATCGAAGTCTGAGAGCCAAGGGTGAGCTTCAGCATCCCTCTTCGCCATTTCCTCCCACTCCTGCTGGAGTTTCTCCCAGAAATCAACATCACTCTGAACTCACACACATATCAACACACAAGCACCAGTGAATACAGTATCACACTGAAGTTCATGTAAACATGTGCAAGTGTGCAGTCTGTCTCACCTCAACCGCTGCTTTGGCCTGCTGGAAGTCTGGCCCGTAAGCGGCGAACTCATCTACCCAAGATTCTGCAGATTCTGCCGAAACCTACCAAGCACAGCGACATGCCAGGCTGTTAGCAGCCTCAATGACACATCACAGAGCCTGCAAATGCTTAAACTACTCAGCTAAAGGGGAAAAAGACAACATATTGTGATGAATGAGAGTGGGGGAATAAAGAAAGGATGTAATGGAAAAAGATAAAGAGGGATTGGGAGACAGACAGAAGAAGAAAATAAAATCTCACCCTCATTCATCCATCTTTCCTTTCCTCTCTATTTTAAAAATAGCAAGCAATGTTCAGAGTACCTTCACTATTGCAGGAAGTCAAAGTGGTTTCAGTAGCTGGGCACAAATGAAAAGCAGTGTGAGCAGGGCATTAGCTCTACAGTCCTGGTGTCTTGCAGCGATAATTACATTAAAAGCACTATTAAATTAAAGCAACAGTTTGCTCTCTTCAAGGCAAAAAAGGTTTGGTCAGCAGGGGCTAGTTAACATAACGAAAATGACAAGCCTGAAAACAGACAGAACAGAAATTGCAGGACTACTGCATCACTGTTGCCAGGTGATCAGGGTCCTACCTGCCTGGCGATAGTAGCCCACTGCTCTGCCTGTTTAGCTTTCATTTTGTCATTCATCTCTTTGCCTTCTTGCGTTTCCACTTGCACAGTCCCTTTCCCTGATTCCAGGAACTGGGTAGCCAGTATGGGACAGAGGGTACAGGGTGGGACATTATGTGTTTGGTGTGGGATTGTTAAGGATAGTAGGGAAATGTAGGTATGGATGCAAGTTAAAAGGTATCAAGATGGGATCAAGAGGGATTTCAGGGGAAAAAGTCATGATGACGGTCCATGACAAAAGGAAGAAGGAAATATCGCAATTAAACTATTGCTTGTTTGAACCATAGGATAAACAATGTTTTTTAGAAACAGTTTCCAACCACAGTGTAGACCTGGTCCTGGACAATTGTGATTTTTCCTTTCAAAAAACTTGGCTTGACCAACTGTGGGGTCCAAAAGTCTCAGACCACTAGTGAAAATGCTTTTTCTAATTTAATACATATTTATACGATCAGGGTAATATTTGAGTGATTTTGAGTGAAAACTCAAGCATTAACTCCACATATTTGATCAATTACTTTGAAATGTTACAGAACCTTCAATATTTCTTATTCCTTTTACATCATAATGCTTTGTTATAAACTGCATTAAAACTTCAATATTTTAACTATATTTTAATTGTATATCTAAAAACAGTTTATAAATATATAATAAAATATTAAGAATAAACAGATAGAATTTTATAAAAAAATACTGTAGTTCAAAAGTTTTGAGTCAGTAAGTTTATGTTTTTGAAAGAAGTTTTATATGCTCACCGAGGCTGCTTTTATTTGATAAAAACAAAACAAAACAGTAATATTGTGAAATATTATTACAATTTAAAATAACACTTTCCTATTTTAATACATTTTTAAAATGCAATTTGTTCCTGAGATGGCAAAGCTGAATTTTACAGCTATTACTGCAGTCTTCAGTGTCATATCCTTCATAAATCTGTCTAATATGCTGATTTGGTGCTCAAGAAACAATTCTAATTGTTAGTAATGTTGAAAACAGTTTTGCTGCTTAATGTTTTTGTAGAAACCATGATACTTTTTTCAGGACTCTTTGATGAACAGAAAATTGAAAGAAAAGGTATTTTATTGAATTTTTTGTTACATTATAAATGTCTTCACTGTCACTTTTAATGAATTTAATAAATCCTTGGTGAATAAAAGTATTAATAAAAAAGAATAACTGATATTATATTATATTATATACACAAATAACAGATGAAATTAGATTTTGAATCCCAAATTTTACACGTGGTCTCAGACCCCACTGTATAAACAGAATCCAGTCTCTAAAACAAATTTAGCTATCCAAAACTGTATTTCTCTTGGGTAATTATTTAAAACCCCGCAGTGCACATTGGCAAGGATTTACAGTATGCTATGCAGTTATGGCTAATGTTGGCTAGCAGCTTGAGAAGAGCCAAGATGGTTGCCAAGGGACTGCAGTGTCACCCTTCATGGTGTTTCCTCATAGGAGGAGCTGGGAAGGGCTCGTACCTGGTTAATGCTGGAGGCCCAGTGCTGTGCCTCCTTGGCCTGTGCTCTATCAGTGTTCTCTTTTCCTGCTCTGTCCTCCACAGTCACACTGCCCTCGCCAATCTGCCTAATGAACCGCAGGAACTACACAATAACAACAACAACAACAACAACAGCTATTACACATCTACTGCTACCAGGAAACACATTGGCGATGAATTCAACACACACATACACACACACACAAGTCCACCAGTGGTTTCCTCTTGACAGTTATGGTCAGGCACAAGTAGATCACAAGGAGGACGGAATAACGGCCAAAGGCATAACGTATCCCAAATTATATGACAAAGCATGAGCAGAGTTAAATGAAAAAGAGAGAGAAATATGAGCAAGTAAAGAAATGCCCATGAAAACATGAACAATGTCACATCACTTTATCATCTACCACAAGTCACAACCACAATTTAGGTTCAAAATGAACCTAAATAGGTTCATGTATTAACTTTAACCTTTCTAAATATAACCCAGAAGTGCAAAGTACAAGTTTCTCAGGTGAAAAAGTCATCTCGTCTGACTCAGTAAAGAAATATGCATATGTCAAGCACTGTTTGCAAGCAAAATCAGTCCAAAACAATTCGAAACAAATAGGCTAGTGGGTTTTAATGAGAGGACAACAGGGCATGGCCTTTTTCCTTACAAACACACAGTTATTCACTTCACAAGACATTAATTGATGTTTTCATCAGCTGTTTGGTCTCACATTCTGACGGCACCAATTCACTGCAGGGAGTAAGTGATGTAATGCTAAATTTCTCCAAATCTGTTCCAATGAAGAAACAAAACATACATTTTGGATGGCCTGAGGGTAAGTACATTTTTAGCCAATTTTAATTTCTGGGTAAACTTTAAGTGATCCCTTGTGGCAGATCAATTTTGTGATGTGGCATTGATGAAAGCAGAGCAGATTTATTCTGAAATGGATCAACTTTAGTTAAACATCCTGAAAAAAAAAAAATAATTAAAGTACCTTTGCTGCAGCATTTAATACAATAATATGCCATGTGCTACAGTGATTTTACAGTGATTGCCAAAAACACTCTTACTGCAACTCTTAGATTTAAGTGGCTTGCTGCTTTTATGATTAAAGACACCAATGTTCAATAAACAGTTACAGAATAAACTATTCTTCTACCAACTAATATAGTTCATTATCTCTGTTTGCGGTTGCCAAGCAACACATAGAAAGGACTATTCATTATAAACCGAATATTAATTTAGAAGCGGAACTATCTGTTGTTTACAATTTGTGTTTAGGTGCAATATCTGTATGCTTGTTTAAAAGGGTCATATGATGATGCTAAAAAGAACATTATTTTGTGTATTTGGTGTAATGAAATGTGTTTATGCGGTTTAAGGTTCAAAAAACACATTATTTTCCACATACTGTACATTATTGTTTCTCCTCTATGCCCCGCCTTTCTGAAACGCGTTGATTTTTTACAAAGCTCATCGGTCTGAAAAGTGAGGTGTGCTCTGATTAGCCAGCTATCCAGTGCGTTGTGATTGGCCGAATACCTCAAGCATGTGACGGAAATGTTACGCCCCTTGCCATATTGTGAGGCCTTGTCCCGGCCGGAGCAACGAGACAAAAACATTAAAACCTATTATAAATGAGGCATTTGTTGCATCCAGTGGGGACATAATTACGGATTATAATGACTTATACTGTCTTTTTACACGCTGCGTTGCATCGCGCCGTGTAAACATAAAACCATGTCTGCATTTGTAATCGGAGAAATGACAAACAACAAGCACTACTCTACACTGCTCAAAACTCGCGTTTGAATCATCAGTGGCAAATTCTTTAAATATAAAAAACTTACTTACAGTCTGTGAGTCAGAACAGCCGGCATTGTAGTCTACTCTACCAGGATCAGGAAACAGCTTTTATAAAGAATATCTCTTTGGATTTGAGACTTTAGTCTTTGCAACTTTACAGATCTTCTTTATGCACCAAGAGCTTGTAACACTCCAAAGAGAAAGGAAAAATTGAAATCGCATCATATGACCCCTTTAATATATCTCTGCATGTAGTGACTTTGACTAAAGTGCATCAGATGCAGCTCAAAGAACACTTAAACCCTTAAACCATCCTCTTACTCTCACCTCTGTGTTCTGTAGCTTAGGGTCATCCACTTTGGCAAGGAGTTCATTTGCTGTTTGCCGTAGTTCTTCACCTGACTGGTATTCTTGCGTCCTGACAGGATAAAAAATATACTAAATCAAGAATATAATGGCTGGTGGCTAGTACCGAATTGTTTTAACATGTCATAACTTTCATTACATCTTCAAATTGTGGAGCAAAACAATTACAGCAATAAACACTCCAATTTTTGTCAATGAAGTTCTAACTATTCCCTTTACTGTAATTTTAATCAAATACATCTAGTTTTGCTGAGCACAAAAGACTCCAAAAGCATTAAAATACCAAATTACTGACCCCAAACAGTAGTGTATATTGTTAATATGCCCAGACTTTCTAAATTCTTCTTCTTAAAAGGTATATAAAATACCATTCTTTGTCCTGTTCTCTTTCTCCCAAATCTCCTAGCCATAACTTCTCCTCTGATTGCTCCAGGTACTCCTCTGCCCAGCGGCCAGGGTCTATAAGACAGGAGGAAGGGAACTGAATATTGGAGGTATAGTAGAAGACAACAGAAAGAGTGAAGCTTTGGAGAATGAAAGGATGGCTGAGCAAAGATGAGTGAAGAATCATCAGCCTCACCTAATGACATCCAATGGCATCTAATGGCATTATAATAAACCTGATGGCATCCTAAATTTAAAAAAGGGATAAAATCTGGGCTAAAATACATTTCAAATTGATATTAACCTGCCACTTCATTGATGAATTCTCTGGTCCAATCAGCATCAGCTGGATCCAGACCAGCTTGTCCAGAAGAAGAGGTGGAGTCAGCACTAGACAGGAACTCTGCCGCCCAATCGCCAGACAGCGCCAAGGCAGCCACGTCAGGAGCTGGGAAAGAAAACATATAATTATAGCACACTGAAAAGTGTTCAAATCAGTCTATATGTGTGTTTGTGCAGTCTACCCCTCTGTGGAGCCTGTCTGTAGCTCTGCTGATCTATCTGCTGCATTTCCTCCAGCAGCTGACCCATATCAAAACTGTGAGGAGGACGTTGTGGGGCCTGTAGAAACTCACTGACCAGCTAGAATTAAAAAACAACAGAATGTCATAACAGTAAGCACACAGAAGACTATTCGACCTCGGCAACTGATCAGGTCATTGAAATATTGAAACATCCAAAAGACCAAAATACACACCTCCTCTTCAGTGGCTATTTCAATTGGAGTAGGAGGAATCTATGGGGGAAAGGGAAAAAGAAGCTTTTTAATATTCATTTAATTTTATTTTAATATTTGTAAGGCTGCAACTAACAATTCTTTTTCAATCTATTAATCTACTGATTTATATATTTCCTTTTTATTAGAAGATTAATTAAACTATTCTTTTATTCCAGAAAGTCTCAAGTTTCAGAATGCCGAAGAGCTGGCATCATTGGGGATTAACTTAAACAGTGTGACGCATCAACACACTCCACACAAATCATGTATTTATGTTATAGACATCGACATGTCATTCCGGCCCTAAATATTTTGTCATGATTATAAAGAAAATGTTCAGTAACTTACAGTGGGTGTTGATCGGTGTCTCCAAGCCCCTCCCTCTTGGGTCATGTGACCAGTCAGTTTCATGAGGGGATTGGCTCCCCCACATTCTGCCTCCACTAACTCCCGCATCGCCATGGCAACACACCGTCAAGCTGGATCAAACGAACACCTTGAGATATCTACAGGTAAACATAATATCATCATTGGCTGGTATGTTGTTATAAAAGTGACAGTAGTAACGTGGTTCAGGGTCTAGACCAGTGGTTCTCAATCTTTTTGACCCCCATTGTCCAAAACAATATTTGAAGGCCCCTCAGCCATAGTTTTGTTTTCAACACTTATATTAATCTCTACATGTTGGAATTAATCACATGACTTATAAAACCTAAACAGAATTTAAAACACTAGGCACCACACACTTGCCGACTTTCAAGTCATTCTGATCACAATAAACACGTACCTTGTTGCTAGAAGACGTGTGACAAATGAAAACAACATGCGTTCTAAAATCTGCTCAAAATATCAAATGTGCTATTCTCCAACTTGATGTAATAATAGTCTGAAGCTTAAAAAAGTCTGTGACCATCATACACTAACACTACGCGAAATCTGCCAACTCAAATCTGCAGAGTGACTCTGACTCTCAACAGACTGTAAATCAGTGCAAAATCTGGGCTAAAGTCATATATAGTGTATTCCAACCTTAAGTTGTTCAGGGTTCCCAGCTTCCAGCTTGTTTTACAATGTATTTACCCTATTCTTCCAGTTGTTAACGATTTTCTGGATAAAGATTGAGGATTCATTTTTTTACAAATATTTTTACTCACTAATACCCAATACAAATGCATATTCATTATAAAAAAAGATACCCATTTTATCAATTTAACTTTTAAAATGTTGTTTGATTTGTAGGTGTTTTATCCTATTTTTTTTATTATTTTGTCTTAATTTAAAACATTTTAAGTCATTTTAAGAGGGCCCTGGCCCCTTGATTGAGAGCCACTAGTCTAGACTGGCAACCCAAAGGTTGTAGCCCTAGTAAACTACCAGAATCATCACAGTGCCCCTGAGAGTGGCATTCTTGGCCTCTTTTACACATCTTAAGGCGAGAACACTCTACACAACTGTCATGCCGATTATGAATGTATTTTAGTCTTGATGACTGATCGTGCCCAGTCTGATCCGGTCTGTTCCAGTTGGGCTCAGTCGCTGTTTGCAGTCAGCAGAAAAAGTCATGTAGTGTGTGGTGTCTAAAGATTATAATCTTTAGTTAATTCAGAAAGATTTTTTAAACAGGTTTAATATTTGCGACTGACACCAGCGATTGTATATGCCACTTTGCAGTGGAGATGCACTCACTATCAAACATACTTCATTGTTAATTTTGTCAAATATTTTTTCTTAATTACACATCTTGTTGTGATGTTTCTTTTATTTCATAAGTTAACATTGCAAAGTTAAATGGTTTTAGACTAATAGTTTTTTTTCTGCAGTCAAAGAATGTAAAATAAATTAAGTATATCAGTGATTTCTCTCATTTTAAGGAATATTCTTCATAACGAATTTTCTTCGAAACAAATATATGAATATAACGAATAGCTATTCTCTTTAAAACAAATTTTTAATTAAAAAAACATTAAAAAATGTTTAAAAATGCTAAAGAGTCACGAGCATGCGCAGCTTTTGCATAGCGATCGTCTGCAAGCTGTGACATTGACATAAATAAAACGGGAACAAAAACTTTATTGACTTAAACTATTGCTAAAAATCAGATCCAGCCATAGGCCTATACGTTTGATCCAGAATCGGATCCTGATGACTTCTGTAACCCAAATGAAGCACGTTGATGGGCAACTCTTGCTCTCGCTCTGGTTGATGTGAGCGCGCGCTCTTTCGGGAGAAGTGCCCATACAAGGATTTGCGCTCTTTATGATGTCATACAGGGCCATACTTGAAAAAACTTTCAGAAACTTGGGAACCCTGAAGGAGTGTCTTTGGCACAGAAATACTCCATCTAGTGTTGTCAAAAGACCCGGTACTTCGGTACCAAGTCAGTACTAAAAAAATCGAAACGTTACGGTACCAGGTTTTTTTTAAGTACCGGTGGTACCGAGTACCCGGTCAACCCGGTTCTTGATGCGCTACCAGAAAGCTATCCTCTTCATAAAAGCACTGAGACATGGCGACCTCAAGAGGAGGAAACGCATCAAACTAACAAAACACTTTAAAGACCAACACCTGGATGAAAGAGTTAAAGTAGGTAAGTTTCATTTTAATTTTTAATATTTAGATCTTCCGTTATGAATATTATTGCATATTTTAATTTGAATGTCGGATTGAAATAAACATCGCCGTTAGCGTAGTTAATCGTTAGCATAAGTGAGGCTGTTTCCCATACATTGATTTACTGACTGCCACAAATAGATTTTCCAAAAGGCTTTGACTTTGTTGAATTAACATGAGCACTGCACGTTTCAAAATCGAAACCCGGTGCGGGTGTTTTTATATCACTGTATTTCTAAAGGAATCCGACTGTCTTCAGAAAATTAATCCGTGTAGGTCCGTGTACGTTTTGATCATTTCATCTCCTATTTGGAATATAATAACGAGAAATGGAAAAACGGCTCGTTTATTCGTTTTTCCGTTTAGTTTAACAAACGGAAAATTAGATTTTGGCTCGATTTCTCATTTTTCGTTTGGGGTTTAAAAATCGGTTTATGGCTTCAGTATTTCATTCGCACGTGTGGGTGGCGCTGAAACGCTCCTTTCATCTGATTGGTCGAATCGCTCCGCCTTCAGTACGGCCTTTTCATCCTTTCAGGCAGAATAAGAGTCAGTACGAGTGCGGCACTATAATGTCTGAAACCACCACTCACTGTTAATTACGCATAATATTTTAATCAGATTTTGCTGGGCACATAATTCGTGCTGCTGCGACTTGCAAGTGACCCCTTTAATGCGAGTTACAGTATGCTGACAGATTATTTCTAGGTAGCCTATTAGTATTGTATGAATATTGTCCCATTGATAAATACAGTGCAAATAGTTCCGTCTCTTTGGATAAAAGTGAAGTGGAAATAAAAATCAATAATAGACTGAACAGTTCCATGATGATAATGTGTCCGTAACATTTACCACTCTCGTCTTTTATTTAAGTCAAAAGGCACTAGGTAGGTGTGTGTGACATGAATAAATAATTGTGAAAATTAATAAAGTTAAATTCATGAAATAAATTAGAAATAAAGTTTAAATTTATGAATGTAAGCATGTGTAGCCAACTCAGTTCAAAAGAAAAGAATGAGATGGAAAAGAGAGAAGGTAGAATCAGTGAACGCACCTTAATACTGACAAAAAAATAACAGGGTTAAGGGCAAATAAAATCCCTATTTTTCATGCCTTAGAATTGTATT